TATATATAATATACATATCTAAATTTTCTCTTAGCCCTCCCAAAATGTTACAGCAACACTCACATTTGGATTTAATTTTTCTAAATCTATTATTTCAGCTAAAAGATTTGGTCAGTCCCATTCCAGCCCATAAACCTGGACTTTCCTTTTCCTATTACAGATCTGAAGTGGATTTTTTCAGTAAAATACTAAAATCAGTGCACACAAGCAATAGATTGAACATCAGGTCCATGTGATTTTCCTATAAGACAGTAGATAACCAAAGTCATCAATGAGCACAAAATGTAGCAAACGAAGCCTCATAATAGATTGGGTCCTACTAGAGATGCAGGGCAAGACATTACAGGAGTGCTTAATCTCAAAAAATAATGGTGTGAACAGGTTTTAAAGCAGAAGTTGTACTTGGTTGCTTTCATTTTAAGCTTTTTTTTGCTTCACATTTTTCTTTATGTTCAAGAAGTGTTGTTTTTCACAGTAAAAGCTATATAATCCTCAATTTCTGTAATAGTCTGCAAAGAAGTTACCTTTATATTTTCCAAGAGCTTGGCACTTAACTTTCAAACTGTATTACATCTTCACCATTGTTTTCAGTGCATTTCGGAGGTTGTTAAGGTTTTCCTAGTGTAGTTTTCATGTTTCATTGTCACACAGAAGCATGAGAATGATAGCGTGTAGCGTAGCTTAAACTCAGACATTCATTTCTGTCCTTAGTTTCAACATTTAACTTCCATCTGTTCTTCTCCCCTTTTTCTTTCATTTCCCTGTTTCCGTTTTTCCTCATGCTATGACATAAAAGTGGTTGCACTGAAAAGACTGCCCTTTTTGAGGAACAGACCGAAGGAAAAAGACAAAATGAAGGCCTTCTACCGTCGCTCCATGTGTAAGACTTTCTGACAGTTCAGCTTCTTCTCAATGGCTACACTGGCTTCCATTACTAATTTTTCACTAACCTCTCCCTGGACTGCGCTGTATTTTACCTCCTATTTTGCAATGTGCAAGTCCTGCTACAATAGAAGGAGCTGGAGCTTTTCCCTTTTTCCCTTTTTTTTCCACACCTTGGCACTGAATACTTTATATATGTGCACACACACACACACACACCCGTACCCACACGTCTGCACGCACATGCACATACATATATATATTCAGTGCATTGTGACTGCATATATTTGTATACATAGTTGTCTATATACACATGTCTCTATGTGTATATAAATTGACAGTGCACTGTGTTAAACTAAATAGTTCCAAATCACACATTTCATAAGCCTTTTGTTAAGAAATCACTGTAATCTTTTGTTTAAAGAAAGGGTAGAAGATGGTGCGAGGCTCTGTGGTGGTCTGTCACTCTTCAAGTACTCATCAGTTGTTGTTGCCAAAATGTTTGTATTGAGTTGATTTATTTGATTTTCCAATGAGGGGTGGACAATTTTCTCTAGTTATTGTGCAGTGAAGGGGAATATCATCAGATGTCATCTTTTCCAGACCCTTTTATTCGTTGTTATGTGAAATCCAGTATCCCTGCAGTAACCTGCACTGTACAAGGATCCCGTATCACTGTTGACATCATGTTGTATTACACCTTTGCCCATTTTATCCTTCTCCATTCCATTTTCTCATTGCAAGCAGTGAATCAAAGCTTCTAACACACATACTGCAGCACAAGCATGGCCATTATACCTAATAAAAGCAATTTTAAGACCCATACTGAGCTGAAGGGAGTCGCTTGACTTACACCACTCCTCACTCATTGAGCTGATTGCATGTCATAACACAGATGACCTTGTGCTTGTAGCTTCCAGTATTCAATGTGCTTTAATGCTTAGAGAACTGTCCAACGTTTTGCAGTACAAAGTAAGACCAGAAGCGAATACATTGACCACGCTGATCATTTGCTTTCATTTGCATCCCAGCCATGAATGACCTGGTGCAGTCCATGGTCCTAGCAGGAGGACAATGGACAGGTAGTTCTGAGCATCTGGAGGGTCCTGATGATATATCTGCGGGTAAAAGGAGGAAGGAGTTGGGAGCTATGGCCTTCTCTACTACAGCTATCAACTTTGCAGCTGTCAACTCTTCTGCAGGCTTCAGATCCAAGCAGTTGCTAAATAATAAAGGTATAGGTAGAAGCTTTTTGCACCGTGACGTGACTATGTGTAACAGCAATTTCATGTAAATACTGGCTTTACTTACGTTTTAAGTTATTCCACAAAAGGCAACTTTAATAAATTGAGTTGCAGTGCTAAGATGTTGCATAGTTTAATAACTGTAGTTATAAAATGTGTGTGGGGTTTTCCTACAGAGTGTTACCTAAGTAAAACTGGATTGGTTTGAAGAATACTTTAGTATATTTTACATATTTCAGTAATCTTTTCATTTCATTTTATTTTACATCATCTTTTATGTCTCTGTGTATAGATACTACGTCCTATGAAGATGTAAGTCCACAAGGTATTAGTGATGATTCTAGTACAGGATCAAGAGTTCATGGTAAGATGTGAACTTTAATCAACTGAATTAAGGATATATTATGTGAATGTTAACCAAATTTGCAAAGACAAGTGAATGGCATGGTTAGGAGTGAGCATGCTTTCTGTGATTTGCCTCCCTCTTGAATGTGTAGTATCATTTCTTCAAATTGTTCCTCTCTTTAACTACTACATCAGATGTTCTATATCTCTAGTAGATGCTCTATCTCTCTAGTAGGAAGTAGCTATGAAGTGCATCTGAACAGGATCAAAGCATCTTCCCTTTCAAGAATTTATTTGGAGTTAATAGTGAAAGAAAAGAAGTTATCATTTCAATCCTGAAAGACATTTCAGACCCAAATCCAAATGTGGCCTGATTATTCAAATGTTTAGTCTTCAGTGAAACCTAAATTTGTCATGTGCTGTGTTTCATAAAATTACTTCCTTCAAGCCAAGCTTGACGTGAAAGCTGTAACAGATTCTGTAGAAGTGAAGCTTTAACTCTAAACGCTGACAATGAGGAGGAGCAACAAACCGACCTTTCTGGGGACAGTAACAGCACGTTTCCTTGTGTTGCCTAGGAGTGCAGGCCGTTATCTGTGCAGATGCTCTTGCTCCTCCTGTTGGTGGCATTTCAACTGTGTGCAAGGTTCCTTGTCAAATCTGTTGTAAGTGACCTGATCACCAGCTGCTTGCTGCACGCCCTTCACCTGCAAACCCTGGTTTCCCACTAACCAGCCTGTTTCAACTCTAAACATACGCTCTGTTTCTCTGTTTCTCTCTGCCTCTCCCTTGTACCTTTACTATTCCTGTAGTGCCCTTTCCTAAAGTGTCCTCTTGGGCTGCCTGGAAATCCCTTCGCTTTCTGATGTGTAAGAAACCACTTTGTTGGCAATGGGCATGCTCAGCCTGTGCAGTGGTGCATGATCCTGCCTCGGAGCATTCTGTGAGCAGAATGTGGAGGTACCGTGCCACCTGCTAAAACTTGGTTCCTCATCGTGTCTCCTCATTTCCCATTTAGCTTCCAGACCAGCCAGCCTTGATAGTGGCAGAACATCCACTAGCAATAGCAATAACAATGCTTCACTCCATGAAGTCAAAGGTATGCTGTAGGTGAATTCACATACGTGCTTCATGTCCATTGTTTTCTCTGTAAGATCATCTGTTATAGGTTAAAACAAGTAAAAAATAGAAGAATTCCCACTAAACACCACAGATTGATTTTCTTTAAGTGTTTTATAGCCTTTATTCCTCAAATTAGGAAAGGGTTCCTGATTGAACTTACGTTTTTCATAAATACTAAAAGGGTGATATTAGTACGTAAGTTACAAACTATTGTAAATCAAACCCAACCAAAGGAAGAACGTTACAAAATAAGAATTACCCCAAATTACTTTAAAATGGCTCATTTAGAAGCAGAGAATTGCTCCATTATGGTTGTTTTCTTCTAGTATCCTACTACATGTGGGCTGCCGTTGTAAAGCTGTGTGAGTGCCACACAGACTGGACCAAACAGCAGCTGAAATACCAACCTCTAAACATCCATGCTTTTGTTTTTAAGGGATGAATAATGTCTCTGGATTTAAAAGTATTCTCTAAATTTCATGTAGGATGAGCCCTGGTACATTTCTGGTTATAATGGAAATAATAATCTCTCGTTGGAGACCATCGTACATACTAGGGTGGAATGCTGCCAACCCAAGACTCTGTTTGATATTAGTGGCTTACATTTATTAAACAGTATGAGTTTGGAAACTCAGAGCTGAATGCCAGCTTGAGATTTGGATTAGTTTAATTAGTTTCTTAGTTTGATTAGTTTAATTTCTGTCAGTTCAATGATTCTTTGGGGTACTCCTCGCCCCAGTTTCTATCAGCATTGGAAACTTCTTTCTTCAAAGTTAATTCCATTTCTTGGGAGTACATAGGAAATACTTGATTATTCATCAGGATTTTAAAAGCAATTCACAATTACTGAGATACAGAAAGAATTGGTGTTGTGGAATTTAGTTTCCATTGAATGTGCTTCCTTCAGGCCGCAGTTGTCATAAACTAGAAGTAACAGCAGCAGCTGTGGGAGGAGCAGCATCTCTAAATTGTCCTCATTGAAGAACTGTGTTTAAGAAAACATTTTCTTTCCATTCCATGCTTTGTATTTCATTTAGTGCAAACACCATTACTGGTATATCAGAGCATGTGCCTCGCAGTGGTGCTGAGTAAGAATGAAGGCTCCTTTTTAGCCTCTTGGAATATAATGTTACATAGATGGAGGCCCAGATTATAAGTGAGAGGTAGGAGTTGTATTCGGAACACCACCTGATGTTTAAAGAGCTGTAAGAGGTAAGTCAGGGGAGTGCAGTTAACCTGTTTGGTTTGAGTCAGAAAGGGCAACTGGGTTGAGTATTTTAAACTGGATTTAGTGTTTTAAATGGAATTTATTAACTGAGTCTGATACTGTTCCAGACATGAGTGTGGTTGTACTGTTTAACAGCGCCCATATATTCTTCTCATGGAATCACTGAATGCCGTTTGCCCCAAAGCAGGTGCCATTAACAATCAGAGCAGGCCCCAGAGCCACAGCAGCGGGGAGTTCAGCCTGCTGCACGAGCACGAGGCGTGGTCCAGCAGCAGCAGCAGCCCCATTCAGTACCTGAAGGGTCACACGAGGTCCAGTCCTGTGCTGCAGCAGAGGACGCCCGAAACGCTGGATGCTCGTGGCAGACACGTCAAAACGGGTTCCCCTGGCAGCGAAGTCGTGACCCTGCAGCAGTTTCTGGAAGAGAGCAACAAGAGTACCTCAAGTGAGGTTAGTTTAATGAGTGCTTTAACTACATGTTATCCCGTGCACGGACGCAGAGTTAATGGAAGACTTGCAGTGAGGAGAATGGCTGTAAAGCTGTTTGGAGATACTGATTGTGTCTGCATTAAGTCAATGGACTCCTGGATCAGGGTGCAGTGGGGACTGTATCCAGATAAACTGCACTCACTGTATTACACACAAAATCATTCGGGATTTTGCAGCTTGACCCTTCCCATGTTACTGAATTAGGCAGGAAAATCCATCTCTACTGCACAAAACTGCCCAGTGCTTGGATGCCTGGTACACTCACCAGAGCTCGGGCGAAGGCCACAGACTCAGAGTAGGTTTACTTCCAGTTCAGCTCTTGTCCTCAGTAAGAGGACGATGCTTCACTTCATTCCCTGAGGAGAGGCTCTTGTCTGCTTCAGTTTCATCATTTTAACTATGGGGCAAATAAAAAATAGCTTGGAGCTCATTGAAATCTGAGAGAAATAAGGCAAAGAGAATGTCTCTGTAAATCAGTGATGGTTTGTTAGGAGCCCAGAATCACCCTGTCTCTGCAAGTATCCAGTTGCTTCATTACTAGTTCTTGAGTAAAGCTGTTCCAAAACCCAGAAGAGCTGTAGGATAAAGCAAGCCTGTTACTGTCAGAGGAGCTTGTCACGAGGGAGGACCAGAATCCATCTGGGTTTAGTAACACAGTTGGACGTGAAAAACATACATTCACATCTGAATTGATTGGGTGAGGTCTGGGGTAGTGACTTGAGTCTGGATCCGAGTTTCTGGATTGTTTTGCTAGATACTTACAATGACCTCTCACCTATGGTCTCTCTGACAAGGAGTTTTGGGTTTTAAGCATAAGACAATAGTCTTCTGGCAATAGAAACAACAGAAACCACCTGAGTCATCAGTCCATTGCAGTTCATGTGTAACAGATCCCGTTCATAGCATCACATCATCATTCAGGCTGAAAGGGGATTCAGGAGGTCTCTTTCCAGTCTTCTGTCAGTGTATTTCCTTAATGCTTTTAGCTTAATTCTTCCCAAATTGACTCTTTAAAGAAAAACCTGGGAACTGTCCAGGTCAGATGTAGGCACTGAGGGTGCCCAAAGGTTCTGTGCTTTGTCTTGCTGTCAGAGACTTTTGTCTTCATTATTTGAGTGATGAGAGAATTTGAGCTTTCAGCTCTGGATGGTCAGTGTAGTTAAAGTAAGAGTGCACATGAAATGGCTCAGGAAGTATCAGTGAGTGATGGCACAGGGCAAGCGAGTGAGAAGATAAACTTGGAGTTTGGACCATCTGATTTGCTGAGTTAATCAGTGTTACAGGAGCTGACTCCAGGTAGGTGTGCTCTGTCTGACTCCTGGTTTTCAAAGTCCTTGTAAGCTGTACGAAAGACTCATGAGTAGGTACCTTAAATGTCGAATGCTACTTTTAGACCTGAGAAATTACTTTCAAGAATTGTTCTCTGTTTATGTCCATGAAGATGGCTTAAGAAAAGGAGAGAATTACAGTGAATTCACATTTCATGTTTCTGACAGATGAAATCAGCAAGTGAAGAGAATCTCTTAGATGAAGTGATGAGGAGCTTATCGGAGTCCTCGGAGCTGGCAGGGAAGGAGAGGCTGAGGAAGCAGCCGTCTGCCGGTTGCGGCATCGTGAGATCGCTGAGTGTCAAAGCCACCATTGACTTCTCAGACGGACGATCCCTGAAGCCAGAGCAGCTGGTGAGGCACGGACGATCCCACCTTCACCAGCTCTCCCGTGAAGTTGACAGGAGGCACCCAAGGGAAGGCCAGATCCGTGAAAGAGAAGCTCCAGGCGAGCGTCTCGCAGCGCCAGCCCCGCGACTGCAATCCCTACGCCACCTTACCTCGCGCCAGCAGCGTCATCTCCACGGCAGAAGGAACCACCCGAAGGACAAGCATTCATGATTTCTTGTCTAAGGACAGTAGGCAGCCTGTGTCAGTGGATCCAGCACCAGCCACCGCTGACAGGAGCGTTCCATCGGCCTCTAGTGAGTACTCAGCACACCAGTTACCCTCCCCTTTTGTTCACTGTGTGGCTTACAGAGTAGATTGTGTTCCACAGAGCAGTGCAGTTAAACCCCGTAATGTAGGATGTCACTCTGATGTGCCTAAAACTTCCAGGATGGAAAGGTCAAATTTTTGGGAGAGAACTTTGCTAAGCTCAAGTGTGTTTAATGATAAATTCTCGGGTAATGACAGCACAGGGTCGCTCACTGTGGCTCAGCCATTTTTATCCCTTAACACTGAATTAGTTAGTAATATAAGTGGGTTGCCTCACAGACCTACATCCAAACCAACTGATCAGGCAGACCTGTCAGCGTTTAGATCAGTGCCAAAGAACCCAGAGCAGCTTTCTGCTCCCCAGGAACCTGCTCGTAGTGAGCCGCGGTCAGTTCCGAGTAGTGAACTTGTTCCTACCACGTGTGTGGACACCAGCGAGGCCGAACCGCCGCTGCTGGTTTCTGAAGATCACAAAACTGTGTGGTACGAGTATGGCTGTGTATGATAAGGAAGTTGTGTTATTAAACATAGAGAGAGAGAGCCTCATCCAACACACGGGTGTTCTGCTCAGTGTCCACTGGATTTAGAGAAGATTTCACTCCAAGGACAAAACAGTTCCATGTTAGATCTGCGGGTGGATGTTTTCTAGAGCTCAGTTGTGTACTCCAGCATGTCTGAATGTGTAATTGTAACCTCACCAAAGTCTGCATGAACCATTAATTGCACTGTATATATTTTGCATGCCTTTAAAAGTCTTTATAATGCAAGCTCTGGTTTTATTTGTCACGCATCACAGATACTTTGATTTCTCCCTGTATGTTACTGAATGCATGTCAAACCAGTCGCATGCTGCACTGCCACAGATGGCACCAGGAGCAATTCCAATACAGAAACAGGACTTTTCAGCTGTGCTCGTGCTTTCAGATGTATCAGTAACACTCTGAGTATGTATTTGGAGTAAAAATACTCCCCCCTCTTCTTGATTAAATGAGATATTAATGAAGAGAAGCATTTAGAGAGATCCCAGTGTCTTACCGTTTCCATTTATGCCATGGTCTGGCATACATGCACTTTGCACAAGGAACAGGTTACAGCCCCCTAATTCAGTGCCTCCAGCTTGCACAATAAATACAAATTACTGTTCACAGTTATTAAAATACTTGAACATTAATAAATACAAAGACATAATCCTAAACGTGCTAAATCTTAGGAGGAGGTGATAAATACTCGCACTTGTAATGAAAAAATGGCCCTTTCCACCTCTTCCCTTTTGTAAGCTTTGTCTCTCCACGCCTGGTGTACAAATGTGGTGAAGTGTATGGTTTGTTAGGAGTCAAATAACTGAGTTACAGGAGACTCCTTGTGATGTGTGGTAATAAAAACCTGTATTGATCATGGTGGAAGCTCATTTTTTCTTCTGAATAGAAGTAACACTAATAGAATAATACGACAGAGAACAAGATGTGTAACAGGGATAACTGTTACTTTAACACAGCTGAATAAAAGACACAATAACCAAAACATTGCTTGTAAGGTTATGTGAGTGTAGGGACGCTCAAGCAAATACCGTTAAATCCCAGATGACCAGCTAAAGAGAAATGCTGGAAAGGAATTAACTTCATGTGCTGCTGTGTCTGCAGTGGCTTGAAACGTCTCACTGATGAATATGAACAGTTTAAAATCGTATCAGGCTTAAATTATAATTAATGAGGCTTCAGACAGGAGCACGTTTTTACCAGAGGCCACAGTCACCAGCAGGTACGGTGACCAACAGTACAAATGCTGTAGGAAACCCGACTGACGGTATGTCTAGAGCAGGAATACATAAAATCCCAAATACTGGAAATAGTGAATGCCACATTCTGATTCTTACGTCTGAATCTCTCTGGCAGCAGTTCTGTGGCACTCACAGTAGTGCTGGAGCTTTAGTTCCTGAGTGTTTCACTAGGGAAGGGCAGCAAATTCGCTGCCTTTTGAGGAAAAGCAGCTGGCACATCCTGCATCTTAGTCTAGAACGTCTCCATTTCAAGCATGAGAATTGTTGATAGAACACTGAGATAGCCCTTCCCAGAGCTCCAGCTCCACTCCGAGCTAGGGAAAAGGAATGGGGGGAGAAGTTTGGGTGTTTCAAAGCCATTCTGTGGAGGGTGAAATGAGTGTTACTGGGCTGAAGAGTGTTGCTCACAGTGAGCTGTCAGTTACTGCCGAGCTCCCTCTAGAATTGTCTCACTGTGAAAAAACCCAGCCCCAGATCTGAAATTCCATCTGAAATTCACAGGCAGCGGGATCAGTGCGTGCTGATCTCTGGCCCTGTCACTCGACTGCGTTCCTGTTAATCTCTCCATGTGTTGGAACTAGCTTTGAGGTGAACGGTGCTGAAGTGACATGAGCATAACACATTCTGCAAGTTATTTAAGGCATTCTAGAGCTCTGGGAGTACTTATTATAAACTCACACTGTGCTACCAGTATCTGTACCATTTGCTTAACTGATTGCAAGCCTGTGTCTTGCAGCGGGGCTGCTTGTTAGGATAAGAACAAGGTTTGTAGCTCGAGGTAGTATCTTCTATGTAGATCAACTGCTGTAGTCCGAGACACCAGATAAGCTTTAGAGCCAGATTATTACCTCGTTTGCCAGCCTTGTCCTGCTGAGGTCCTTGTACTGTCACAGCTACAAACACCATCAGTGTTGTCTCCAGATACATTACAAACCCTCCAGCACTGAACTCTGACTGTAGTTGGGAGCAAGGCCAAGGTCTAAAGAGAAGCTGTAGAGGTCACCCCTGTAGAGTGAAGGTAAAGCCGCTGTCCAGGCACTGGCTCTGTTATTTCCAGCCTCTGCGGCACTGCAGTTTCAACCACCTCATTTCTCTTCCCAGCATTGAGCTTTCCAAACAAACCAAACCTGGGAGTGAATATTTATGCCTGATATTTAATGCTTTTTCAACCTGTTTTACCTTAAGCTATTGGGGGCAGCATTAAAAGAGCTGCTCTTTTAAACCCAAAGTTAGTGCCTTGGAACACAAGTGCCTCATGTCCTCTACAGGAGTTCTAGACTCACCTTGTCCAGCTCAAGCTGCCATTTAGCATGGGTTATAACCTTGTGATGAACTGCATTTCAGTTCTGAGGATACCAGCTTTCTGTGTTCCTGGGTTTGCTCCATTCAGTTCAGCACAGCAACAGTAGCACGCGGATAGAGAATTTTATTGTCTCTGGATAATAAACTGTCAACATTTCTCTATTACATATGAGAGAAAACAAATGTTTCATGCACAGAAGGGTTATTTTTCCTGACCTTTTTGTTCTTTAACAATAATATCGTGGATGTCTCTCTTGGTCTGTGCTCGAACAGTGGAAGGGGCTGTGAGGTTCCTTTCAGACCCAACCACTGCTGCTCCTCAGCCATGCACACGGTGCCCTTGCTCATTCGTTGGTCCCTGCTGCCTTTACAGCTGAAGAGTTAGGACTTTGCATGGTAATTACAAGCACTACGTAGGTGGCTGCTGGCCAGAAGAGGTTGTGTTGTTCAGGCTCAGGGATGTGCTTGCTGTTAAGGTTTGCTCGATGCTTTGCTTGAAGCGAATAGTAAATGAAGATCCTGCATTTTGCACGTTCAAGCTGTTGCATGCAAAGTTAATTGTGTTCTGCAGAACTGAAGGTGAACATCCCTGTCTGGGTAGCAGGTACAAACACAAAGATGAGTCAAGTCCTTGCTCTGCTGGGTTCAGTCAGCCTGGGTTACATCAGGTTGTGTTTTTTCCTTTTCATACAGACATTTAGGGTTAGTGTACCTAAAAGTGACGTGTATCTGATAGTGGCTTTGAAAGCAATACCTGGTTACTCTGAATGCTAGGATGAATTGTAACAAGTGTGGTTGCGCAGGCACTTCCAGTGAGTTTCCTCCATCCCTCTCCTCTGTCCTTTCCTCTAAAAACAAAACAGAAAAGGTGTTTAAGTATATCCTTTTGCTCTACTAATAAGTAGAATGTATTTTAATGCATGAGGGGTTATTTTTCATGTCCTGATCAACACAATGAATAACATGAAATGCTTTTCTCTGCAGATGTGGAAGCTATCCCAGAAAGCAGAAATTCAAAAAGCAGGTCTAGGGAGCAACAAAGCTCCTAATTCTATTACCCACTACCTGAGCTGTGGGCCAAGTGGTGAGTTTCCTGCCCAAAATGTAAATGAGATTAATTTCATTTACAACAAACTAACAGCATTACCTACAAGAACAAGTGCACATTGCATTAACCAGTTGTAAATGCTGCTTGCTTAACCGGCTTCTGTCTCGCTTACAGGTTAGGCCAGAGCAGGTTGGTTTCCAGCAGTTGTTTTGCCTGTGTAGGAAAGGGAACGTCATCCCATCAGCCTTCTGCCTGTAAAAATGACATTTACCTTTATTTCTCCTATCTCTTGAGGAAGAAAATTCAAAGAAAGGAGTAACGTTGAAGTCAGTTCTTAGAAAGGGACTGATAAATCCAAAAGAATAGTTTAACAAAACAAAGTATCCCATAGCACAAAACTGCCTTTTTACAAAGCTTGTCTTTGGCATCCTGTCCTTCTCCTGACTCCATTAAAACATCCTTGCTGCATGCTGTTAGTGCTGTTAGTTCTGTTAGTGACTTAACTCTTGTATTTTATACTTCCCCACTTTTAAGCTTTTCTTATGTTCTTTTCTCTTTCCGCCTTTCAACTGAACGCAGAGAGAAAAGTGTCCTTCAGTATCTCAGTATGAAGCCTTTTTATCTGAAGTAACAAGACAGCGACTGTAGGAATCAGTAATAAGAATTAAGGGAATTTTTTACCTTCTTCGTGACTAGAGCAGGCAAGAAATAAAAACCTACCTACCTTCCTCCTTCCTTCCTTGAATCAAGGAGCTCTACTGGAGTCTGCTGCCGGAAACTTGTAGATGGTCTTAGGAATTATTGCACATTGCACTGTTAAGATCTACTGAATAAAGGACAGTTCTCATCTCCCTAAGGACCAAGGATTTTAAGGTCTCAAGAATTTACTCCAGGGGAAAAACAAAAAAAAAAAAGAGAGAAATAAAAATACTTCTGTAATCTTCTGTTTATGAAATTAGCCACTGATTTGCTTAAGCTTCTGCTAATAATTAGCCAAAAACCCCCATAACAAGCAGTTTCTGTTCTGTACATCTAAAATGCTGTAGTATTTTGTTGGAATTGACTGTAAATACAGCTCCAGACCCCTCCCCGCTTACTGGCACGTGACTGCCTTACTGGGTTAGCATAATCTGCATGAAATGGCTCTTTAAAAAGTTTCTGCTGGTTTTTGTTGCGTTCTGCAAGGGAAAAAAAACATGTTTACAAACCTGACAAAGTTCAGTGATGAACAGAAGTGGGAGCCATGGGGTGCTCGTATGATATAGAGATTGTGTGTCATTTGTGTTCTTCACATTCCCACGTTACTCTGCGGGTCTGTGTTCCGGTGTTCCTGACAGGACCTTGTCAGGAATGACTTTTCTACGACTTTTATTTTAATACAAGGCTGTTTCCAACAACTGGCATTGCCAGGATCAAACTGTCTTACGATGTTTGTGTATTGACTCCTTTTTCTTACTTGTTTGTCCTTTGACATGAGCTGATTGTGGCTTTTAGGAGGTTTCTTGATGGCAAAAAAAAAAGAAATGTAAATAATATCATCTGCATTTTACAATCGGTTCCCCTTAAGGTTATCTTTCACTAGCAAGATACATTTTGTTCATTATTGATTTATATTAAAGTCAACGAATGTTATTGGTACATTCAGTGGTTGCATATATTTGTTGTCTTGAAAGTACGTGGGGAGAGCTCGCAGGATGTGTATGTGAACTTACAAGCAGAGCCAGAATGAGTTACCAGTTGTATTTTACTACAACCCCATAAGCACACTCATGCTCCAGTTCTAACGGGTTGACTGTGTAACCTCACATCCCATCCTCTGACAGGCATGTGGGTAACTTCACCCCCAGTTATCTCTGCCTCCCTAAGGGGAAGGTAAGCGGGATGTGTTTGCAGGGTAGCACTTACAAAGCCTCAAGCTGTCAAGGACAGTGGAATGGAATTGGTTTTACTGGGGAGAGAATGCAGTTCAGCAGATTCAAAAGCATCCTGGCACCTAATTTATTGCATTTTACTGAGATTTGTGTCAAAAAGGGGGAAAAAAGAGGGAAGTTGGAGAAGCTTTAGAAGGGGAAATTCTCTTGGTTTTCTTCCTTAAAGCGACTTCCTTCTGATTTACCTTTGATGATAAAATACACTAAAAGATCTAGATCTGAACAGAATGTTCTGGGGTTACAATATAAATGACTTGGTTTGGTCTGGGATTGTTTTCCCAGAGACGTTAAACATTTTTAGTTGTTTTTCTTAAGTGAAAACAGGACCAATTGCACAGCTCTGCACCCACAGAATGTCCGTTCTTCCTCTGCAGACGTTTCTGGCGTACCATTAAAATCACTGGTTTATTGTGGTGAGCAGCTCACACTGGCATCCAGTTCTGGTCCCTCACACTTGGTGCGAAGCTTCTCACTGATTCCAGCAGAAACATTGTGTGTTTTCTGGAGTATCCACACAGAGCAGCAATCCCAGGAGGATCTGAAGCCTGGGGTGCTCCTGGTGTCCGGCTCCACAGTGGTTGGCAGCTGGAGCTCAGTTCCCCACATTTTAACTGGTACAAGGACATTTTGAGAGGGATTTGGATATCCCAAGCCAGGCAGTAACAGCCACCCTGGTTGTAGTCACAGGATCCAAGCAGTTGTGTGCGTTCAGGTAGATCCTCCAGGATCAGTATTGTCCTGACTGTGGTAGGCACTGCTCTGTGAGCAGCGTCGCTGGGCACATACAGCCTGCCCTCACCGTATGTGGCTGTGTCAGTTTTGGCCCATGGATCTCCTGATGGTTCATTTATTAGATCAACTCTTATCTATATTCATTAGATCCCCAGATCACCCATCACAGTTTCAACACTTGCTTTCTGCATGTTGTTACACCTTCTCAAGGCATCGGTGCAATCACAGCCAGAGTTACAACTACTCATTAACTGATAACGTGTGTTAGAAATGAACCCCCCATCCAAAAACCTCCACCTAAAGTTTCCTTGTACAAGAGAATCAGCCAGAGCCTGGGGGCGGAATTCCCCCTGCTAGGTCCGAGCCTGGCCTCACTCAGGTTTGTGTGCCCAGTCCTGGCTCAGGCCTGCCTGTGCCAGTGCAAGTGGGTTTTAACCCACTTCACCTGCATCAGCAGAGAGGCCAGAGTGGGATTTGGGGTTGCAATTGCTGCATTAGCCGAGCGCAGCCCGGGAGATAGGCTGGCATTTGAGAGATCAGGATCTGCTGCTCCCAGCACTTTGTTTTGCAGACGTCTCAGAGCAGAGGAGCTGTCAGGAAGCTCTCCACGCTCTGAGGACTTCTAATTATTTTCTCTCTCCTTTCTTAATCTTTCCAGTCTGTGCCCTTCAAATACAATAAAAATGTAAATTTAATTAGGGAGCTGCTTCACGTGTTCTGGAGCACAATGTCCCAGGGGGAGACCAGGGCGGCTGTTGGGCAGTGTGTGCACAACAGGAGTACACGCACTGCTTTCTGCTGCAAGCACTGCCAGATCTGTCACCGCTGGTCCCGGGGTTACAAACAGGCTGTAGTGCTGTACAATGTGTCACTTTGATTTACTTTCCTGAGAGTCTGCTGAGGATTTAGTAACTTTCCCAACACGTCTTGTTTCTATTCCCAAGACATGCTGCAGCCCCAGCGAAGCAGCTCATGTATGATTTGTGGAGGTAGATGATGATGTGTGTGTAAATAATGCTTTGATATTAATAAAGCTGCCTTAAAGGAATGTACCGAGGTGTGAAACAACACTCAAAAAGCTCTTATTTAAATCTGTAATTTCCTTTACATACTGATTTTTTAATGTTTGCCACTGTACACATTTATTAATGATGTTATTAAAATGCCAAACCAAATAATTTTTACTCGTGTGTGTACGTCTATACACACTTTCTCTGGAGACTGATGTTGCTGGGAGGGTGTTGGTGTTCAGTTGTGGTCAGCCGGTGGTGTGGTCAGTGAGTCCTTCTGACTCTGCTGGAGCAGAATCTTTCCTGGACAGAGTGTAGTTTGTGGTGTTGATCTGTGTAGACCTGTGTGGCTGCTCACTAAACACTATTTTGATATTATTTAAAGATAAAAGGCACTAATTTCATAAGAAAAAAAAAAAATCATTATAGATTTGCCAAATGTAGTGTTTAAAGCTTTGATTTTACCTGGTTGTTACTTCTGCTGAGAGAAGTCTCAGAGTCTCTCCTGAGGACAAAGGTAGTTAAATTTAGGCAGCACAGATCTGGAGATCCATGAAGCACAGTAAACTGCTGTGTGCACGTGTCTTTAAAACAACTTTTCACATTTAAAGCTTTCTGGATTTAAAAACCTTGACAAGTCAAATATCGTTTGGGGTTTAAGTTACATTTTGGGGTAGCAGAAAGAAACCTTAAAGGGAAGGGAGAGTGAGTGGCAGGCAGAGGATAAGGTAAATTTTAAAGACACATAAGACAGTATCTTAATATCTACTTAATTTAGTAACACATGCATCGATCCAGAGTACATTAATTAACCCAAAGGTCCTAAATACCAGATGTTCCTTTCAGTCCTTTCTTATAAACCCACATGTATCTGGACACTGTTCCAGTGGCTCTTCCCATAGCATCAACGTTTTTAGGTCACCTCTTTCCCATTTGAGATGACTGTGGCAATAGATGGGGTTGGTTTGTGTCTTTGGAATGTGGAGGGGAGGATTTAACAACGGAACACTTGTGAGCCAGCAGTTCAAGCTCTTGTCTCTGAGAACAGGCACCAGGTCCTTTGGAAGTGAAGGCTACCATGGTAAGGCTGTTTGTGCAGTGACTTGCTTTGCCCTGGAAGATGCTTTTTCTTAGTTGTTCACTCTCTAGAATTTAAGGTTTCACTTTCTTAATAGGAAAAATACTGCATCCTTTAGAGTGACACAGTAGCAAACAGTCATCCAAGATCACAAGTCCTTTAATGTGTTTTTTCTTCATGCTTCTGTGTTCTGTTCTGTCTCCAGTTCGTTGGTGTTACTGCTTGTACATGACAGTTTTGTTAGGCTGTGTTCAGAAGCCCTTCTCATCATCTTCACACTGTGTCCCTTGCTTTCACTGCTCCCCTATCTCTGGGTTTTGGAAGGGTACTTGTTGCCACAGCACATTTACTGCACTTCATGGAGTTTCTGCTGCTTGTGTCTTCAACACACAGTCTGTTTGAAGGGGGTTGATTCATTTAGGCAAGAGAGGAGGAGAAAGAACTAGGAGATCACATGTTGAGCATGTACTAGTGTGCGACAGCAGATACTTTTCCGTATGAAGTATCCATCACCTGTTGAAATCCAAATCGGCCTCCCCTCAACCTCTTAAACATGTGGTTTGTCAGGGGAAGGCAGTCCCCTTCTCCCAATGGGAGAAGTACAGCCCCTCGTTGTACCCTTCTCTCCACTTCTGTAGGCACTGGTTAAGGTACAGTAGAGCACAGAACAAAACCACACACAAACATTAGTACAGCTCCTGGTTGTATTAACCTTCCTCCCAGGCATCACCAGCACAGACCAAGAACGTACAGTAACTCCACTCCTTGGACCTCGTCTGCCAGAAGGGAGGCTGGTACCAGGGTTTGCATCCCAGTTGCTGAGAAGCTCTAGAAGTGAGAGAGGTTTATGTCTATCCTCATAGGGCAAGCACAAAGTAACTTCCCAAGGGGAGGATACTGTGAAAGTGAAAATGCAGCTAAAAACATAGACAATCAAATGTGGTTTTGGTAGTGTAGACAAGTTGTCTTTTTCTAGGTGAAAATAAGAAAGCAATGTGTAGTAGAGGATGAGTGGGTACAGGTACAGCACAGAGACACCTCCATTCTGTGTGTACTGACAAACAGTGTGAAACTTTTAAGTTAACTTCTTATATCCTAATGATGTTTTAAGTTTAACCCTTCAAGGCCAGTACCACATATGGGAAGTTCCAGTTTTATCTGTTTCATTAATAAAGACTGTAACATTATTTAAATAACCCCTTTTCTGGTTACTCAGTGGTAGACTGCAAACATGTCTTGTCTTCTTAAGAATATTATGTTCAACTTCTAAATGACCCAAAGACAGTATTTTTTCTGACCAGATTATAAACTTACACAATTGAAAGAGTAAAAAGGAGCGAGCCTGGTTTTTCCAGTTTTATTTGTAAAAGACTTTCACCAGTTTTTCTTTACAAAACCTATGCCTCGGCATAGAGAAATGAGTTTTGTCTACGTCGTGTCCTCATCAAAACGTATGATGATGGGATCGTGCCCTGTTGATCTCACAAACTTCAAGAAGTCGTCAGGGCTCAAACCCATGGTTGCACAGTTTGTCATTGGGTGGAAATACACCCTCTCGTGGCCGCCCTCCAGGAAGGCAGCGTCCAGCACCAGCCTCACCTCCCCCTGGTCACAGAAGAGCGCCAGTGGTGTGGCACAGCCTTGGCCCACCTTCAGCTTTTCCAGCATGGAGTTTTCATCAGCAAACCTCAGGTTCCCGCTTCCAACACCCAGTTTTTTCGCGAGATCAGTTAAGTTGATTTGCCTGTTGTGCAGGAGAGTCACCAGCCAGAAGCCTTTCTTCTTTTTGTCTTTAAGGAAGAGGTTTTTACTGTGACCTCCTTCCATGTGTTGGACGTGAGGCATCATTTCTTCCACAGTGAACACCTGGAAAATGCCATCAGTGCAGTGTGAGACTCGGTATCACATTGGACTTTCGGTTATGTACTGGCAGTATCTTTTGTTAAATACTTAGAAAAGAACTGAATGTTACACTCAGCCTGAAAACTGTACCCTTTTATGAAGAAATTTTAAAAGAACACAAATAAAATGTGACATCCTGCTCCTGCTCACTTCCTGAATCGTATCTTTCTCATGTAAGCAGCAAGAATTGCACACTTTACAGATGCAGACAGGCAGCCCTGACAGCACTGCTTTTTGCAGGCTGACTGGAGTGACGTGGCATGTGCGCTTTTAAATGGGAGTGAGAAAAGGTTTGGAAAGCTTTAGATGCCCTCGACTTCTAAGTGAAGAAGTGGGTGGGCTGCAGCTCCTGAAACTGGAGGGGGAAAAGAGGATCTGGGGGGCAGAAAGGCATCAA